TTGAATAAGCAAGCGGGTGCTAATTCGAGGATTTACGGTGGTGACACTTCAATTCAGTTTCAAATTTGGGGGCTTAAATAAGGGGAGGCATTACAGCAGAACGATGCAAATAATCGTATTAGCTTACCAACTGGTCCATACAAATTGGCTATTAAACCATTTGGCGCAACAAATGATTGAAACTTTAGGGCATGTACCCTTTTGTGCCCACTGGGTACACGCTGGTTCTCTCCTGGGCGACAAATTGGGCGAACTGTCAGGTCTACAAACCCCTAGCAATTCTCAAGAGCTGTTCCCTTTCCATGGACAGCAAGAGCAAAGTCTTCCAGATGTTGGCTACTCAGCCAGGGTTGATCGAGATCTCTGAGCAAGTATCCATGGTTTGTGTAAATAAAGCTGATCACCTCGTTTAAGATTAAGCTCAGCTCGGGCACTGAACAAAGCGAGGAATCATATCCAAGAGACGACATGGGTAAGAAAAAAGTTTCAATAAAATCAACAGTCCTTTCGTTCCTGAACATACCGTACCATTGGCACAAGTAAACATTTCTGGAATTGCTAATGCCCGAAGAAGGAGAGGCAATCTTGTGATGCCAAACCTGAGCTCGGCTGCAAACTTTTCAGGAGAAATGGCGTCGTAAACATCGTCAATCTCTTCATACTGCTTGTAAGGATGTTGCCTTCTCATCCTTGTGATTTCATAAATCGCAAAGGAGGTAAACGGATGTTAATAGGATAGTTTTTTGGCTAAACATGGCGAGATTGTTACTGTAAAACCCTCGCACTCGGATCGATACATTTGTTTAGAATCTAAAGTTACAATTTTCGTCAGCACGACTACGAGTACGAGATACTAGTGCCAGATTTCGCGCAGTTAAAACTCGTACTCGTACTCGTTCTCGCACTCGAGTCTAAAGCTCTCTATTGTCTCGATTTCTCATCGTGTACTCTCTGGAAACTGCCGATACTATTCCCACCTGTGTGAAACTCCCCACCGTTCGTACACATCCGTCTCGTAGTCTGGAACGACATGGTTAACTCCGAAGCCGCTGCTGCTCCCGCCGCTCAAGCTCCAGAAAATCCCGGTTTTCGGCGACCGCAAATCGCCCCGCCAAAATCACTCGAAGTTGACGGCGATCGAGGTGATAACTGGAGGTTGTGGAAACAACGATGGTTAAACTACTATCTCCTTGCCGGTCTGAATGACCAAAGTGAAGATTACAAGTGTGCCATGCTACTGCACTGCATTGGCATTGAAGCCATGCGACTTTTCAACGGAATGAAATTCGGTGAAGGTGAAGATCGCGACAAGATGGCGGACATTCTTATGAAATATGATCAGCACTTTCTCGGTCAAAAACAAGAATTCTTCGAGCGCTTCCAATTCAATCGACGAAATCAAGAATCTGGTGAGTCTATTGACGAGTATATCTCTGTATTACGCAACATGGCCAAAACCTGTGGCTTCTGCGATTGCATACGTGAACTCTTGCTCATGGATCGCCTTCTCTTAGGTATCTCAGATGACAAGACTCGTGGGGAACTCCTCTCAACACACGATTTTACACTGAGCAAAACCATCGAAATTTCTCGTGCAAAAGAGGCCGCCTCTCTTCACATGAAAGCTCTCAAGAATGAAGAGATTAATAAGGTGATCAATAAATTTAAGGAGAAAAAGCCTGGTGACGACAAACACAAAACTAACGGAAAATCTGGAGATCATGTAAAAGGAAAGACAAAAGACAATTCAGGTAAAGGAAAATCTGGAGAAACTAGTGATCCGCGCGCTACTAAAAGAAAGTGTCTTTTCTGCACCCAAGTTCACCTCATGAGGAAGGAACTGTGCCCCGCGTGGGGAAAGACCTGCATGGCCTGTGGTGGCAAAAACCACTTTCAAATGTCATTTAAGTGTAAGCACCACAGCGTCCACTTTGTTGGTGAAGACTACACTACCGACTCCTCTGAAAGTAGCGGTAAAACCATTAGTGGAATTTCGACTGATCAGGATCAATTCGTCAACGCAGTCCTACTTGGCAACCAACTCATTTTCTGTGAAATGGAAGTTAACAAGAAGCCGGTGAGACTACAAATCGACTGTGGCTCTACTGTATGTATTCTGCCCAAGCGCTACGTTGAAAACACCCAAATTCGCCCTGAAAAGATAAACCTCCAGATGTGGAACACAACCTCTTTGCAAGCCCTCGGCAAATGCAAAATAAAAGTTGTGAATTCGACCACAAAGCAAAGCTACAAAGTGGACTTTTTCATCGTTGACAAGGAACTCACCCCTTTATTAAGTGGAAAAGCGGCACAGAAAATGAATCTCATCACAGTCCACTATGACAAGTTCAAGGTCGTAAATGCAGTTTCGTCACCTGAACGTGACTATGTCCAACTCTTTCCTGACACCTTCAAGGAAACACCTGACACACTCCCTGGCAAGAAGGTACACCTCACAGTTGCTGAGGGTGCCTCCCCGGTGATTCCAAGTGCGCGCACCCTGCCTGAGTCACGTAAAGATGTAGTCAAAGCCGAACTCCAGCGCCTTGTGGACACCGCTATGATTGTGCCTGTGGACGAACCCACCGACTGGGTGAGTCAAATGTCTGTCGCTGAGAAAAAGTCCGGTGTCAGAATCTGCATAGACCCTCGCCCACTCAACAAAGCCCTCAAACGAGAACACTACAAGCTACCTGTCCTAGAGGACGTCCTTCCAGAACTATCTCAAGCGTGCAAGTTCTCTGTCTGCGACCTAAAAGCAGGCTATCTGCACTGCGAACTTGACCACCCTTCGAGTCTGCTGACGACATTTGCAACTCCATTTGGACGCTATCGCTGGTGCCGTCTCCCCTTCGGCCTCACGGTTAGCAGCGAGATCTTCCAGAAAAGGCTCCACCAGGCACTGGAGGGTCTCCAGGGTGTCCGCTGCATTGCCGATGATGTACTCATCTGGGGCCGCACAGATGATGAACATGATGAGCGGGTACATTTGTTCCTACAACGCTGCTGTGAGATCGGAATTACTCTCAACAAAGACAAGTGCCGTTTTGGTTTACAGGAAATTCCGTTCATGGGCCTCGTCGTAAGCAGCAATGGTCTTAAGCCTGACCCCGCCAAGATTGATGCAATAGTCAAGATGAAGCCGCCTACAGACAAGGCGGGTGTTTAACGACTGAGAGGGACTGTCAACTACCTCTCAAGATTCGTCCCTAAACTCTCTGATGTCATGCGTCCCATCAATGATCTGACCCACCCCGATGTTGAGTGGACCTGGGACTCTGTTCATAACAAAGCTTTTGAAGAAATCAAACGTCTCCTATCACAAGCTCCTGTGCTGGCCTACTTTGACTCGACTAAAGAACTGTCAATTCAGTGTGATGCCAGTGGGCAAGGCCTATGTGCAGCACTCTTACAAGAAAGAAGACCTTTAGCGTATGCCAGCAGAGCTCTCAGTGATATCGAAACAAGGTACGCAACAATCGAGAAGGAGATGCTCGCCATTGTATTCGCTCTCGAGAAGTGGGACCAATACACCTATGGTCGTCACGTAACCGTCCACTCCGACCACAAACCATTAGAGAGCATCACGAAGAAACCCCTTGACAGAGCTCCCAAGCGCCTTCAAGGCATGTTGGTACGCGCTCTGGCCTACAACATCGATGTGCGGTATCTGAATGGCAAAGAAATGTTCCTGGCCGACACCCTGAGTCGGGCCCACCTTCCCCTGACCTGTGACGACACGCAAGAAGAATTTGAAATTATCAATGCTCTCACCTACCTTGTAATGTCCGATGAGAGAATACAGGCAACGCGTCAACACACCAACTGCGATCCTGCGCTACAACAGCTTAAACATACTATTCTAAGTGGTTGGCCAAAAGACAAGACCCAACTATCACCCCTTGTTACACCATACTTCAGCATCCGTGACGAACTGGCAGTCACTGATGGCCTCATCTTCCGGGGCGAAAGATTGGTTATACCAAAGTACATGAGGCCTCAGATAAAAAAAGACATCCACGCTAGACACCAAGGCGTCGACACATGCCTGCGACGAGCTCGAGAATATGTATTCTGGCCTGGAATGAGTAAAGAGATAAAAGAGTGGATATAAGCGTGTGAGGCGTGTAGAGATTGTGAACAGACACCATGCAAGGAACCTCTTATGAGCCACGACATTCCTGAACGAGCCTGGGAAAAGATTGGCTGCGACCTGTTATCATGTAATGGTAAAGATTACCTCATCACTGCTTGTTACAAATCAAACTTCTGGGAGCTGGACCGCCTTACAGACACCAAGTCCACAACGGTCAACAAGAAGCTAAAAGCCCATCTTACTCGATACGGGTTCCCAGACAGCTGGTCTCTGACAATGGACCTCAGTTTGTGTCAAGTGAATTTCACGCTTTCACCAAGAGCTGGGGTATTGAACATACCACCACCTTACCTCACAACAGCAAAGCCAATGGCAAAGTTGAATCCGCAGTGAAAGTAGCCAAGCGCATGCTGCGGAAAACCGCCAAATCAAGCGAAGACCAATACCTTGCCTTGCTCAACATCAGGAATTCCCCAACACAAGGCGTAGACAGCAGCCAAGCCCAGTGTCTCATGGGTAGGAGGACCAGGACCCTGCTGCCGACTACAAAATCCCTGCTGGAACCAAGAAATTCCCTGAACCCTCACGAGATGGAACAGGTTCAATTAAACCAGAAAAGACAAGGTAAGTACTATAATCGTACCGCACATGACCTGCCTACCTTGAAGGAAGGGGATACTGTCCGCTTGAAACCTTTTGTCCTTGGACAACACAACTGGAAGAAAGCTGAAGTGACCCGCAGGCTAGATGAAAGATCGTATGAAGTTCAGGCCTCCGGCACAACCTACAGACGCAACCGACAACACCTGGTGAAACCTCACAGCCCTCCGAGCAACAAGACCTTGCCAAAGAACCCCATCCTATGCCAAGTGCTGACTGTAGGGTGACCACCCCAGGACAAGAC